GCAGGCAGGGGTTTGGGTCCCACAGTGGATTTTTAGTGAGTTTTTGCCTCGGGTAAAGGAGCACAGAAGTGGTGTTGTTCCCCTCTCGCTCCCTGTGTTCCATCTTACGTGACTCGTGGAGCTCCAGCCCCATCTCTCTGGCTCCTCTCTATGTTGGGATCTGGGCAGCAGAGCCCGGTGCTGCTCCAGCAGCCCGGTGGGCCTGTCCTGCCCGTGCTGGCTGGTGTTGGGCTGGGTGGGGTGGGGGCACAGGCTCTGTGCAGGGCCGTGGAGGAGCCTGTGAGGGTCTGGCATGTGTGCAGGCACCCTGACCTGTCCCTGTCCTCAGCGCTGGAGCGGCCCCGAGAAGCTGCTTGCTCTGGATGAGCTCATTGATCGCTGCGAGCCCTCCCAAATCAAGTACATGATGCAGGTCATTGAACCCCAGTTCCAGAGGGATTTCATCTCCCTGCTGCCCAAGGAGGTGAGTTGAGGCCAGTGCTGGGCTGGCCCCAGTGCTGGGCACCGGACACAGGAGCCCACTGTGCCCTCATCCCACTCCTGCAGCTGGCACTCTACGTCCTGTCGTTCCTGGAGCCTCGGGACCTGCTCCGAGCTGCCCAGACTTGTCGCTACTGGAGGGTCCTTGCTGAAGATAACCTGCTGTGGAGAGAGAAATGCCGTGAAGAAGGTAAAGACCCCTCCTGCCTGTGCGTGGTGGCTTCACTCCTTTGGCTGCAGCCCTCCCCGCTCCTCCCAGGGAGCAGGGGAGAGAACTGGAAAGTTAAAAGTAAGAAAACTCACGGGTTGAGATAAAAACAGTTTACTAATTGAAATAAAATGATAATGACAGTAACAGTAATATCAGAACATGCCAATGAGTGATGCCCAGGGCAGTTGCTCCCCATCCCCTGGCCAATGCCCAGCCTGTCCCAGCCAGAAATCCCGGAGCAGAGACAGTCCCCAAACCCAAACCCCGGGAGAGCCAGAGCCCGAGCCATCCCCGAGAGAATCCCCAGCTTCCCGCTCAGCCCTGGGCAATGTCCTGCCCATGGGGGACAGGAGATGGAATATCTCATTGGCAGAGCCAAATGCCAATTGGGGGTTTGCTAATTACTGCACTGCCCCCCTCCCAGTCCTCATGTAGCTGTGAACCAGCCAAACACAATGACCTTGGGCTCCAGCAGCAACTAATGACATTAGTACCTGATCAACATTCTTCTCATCACAAATCCCACCCTGAAAACAAACCACAGCTACTCTGGCTGCTGAAAAGAATTTTTTTCTTTGCTGAGGGACATGGTTTAGAGGTGGGATTGGCAGTGTTGGGTTCATGGCTGGACTTGATGATCTTGAAGGTCTTTTCCAACCTTTATGACTATGTGATTCTGTGACATTAACTGTATCCTAACGAAGCCAGGGCAGGATGGCACATCGTGGCTGGGCTCTGCAGTGGCGTGGCCCGCAGCCCCCATGAGCTGCATCATCTCAGCTCCCTGGGAGGGTGAGGGCATGGACCACCTGTGTGCCGTGAGCCACCCCGCTGTGTTCTCCCTGCAGGCATCGAGGAGCCCCTGAACCTGCGGAAGCGGCGCCTGCTGAGCCCTGGGTTCATGTACAGCCCCTGGAAATTTGCCTTCATGCGTCAGCACAAAATCGACATGAACTGGCGCAGCGGGGAGCTCAAAGCCCCCAAGGTGGGTCCTTTGGGGTCCTTGCTGAGAACCAGGCTCCACAGCTTTGACACGTAGGAAGCTGGTACAGGAAGGAAGCAGCAGGGAAATATCTGTGACCAACAGGATGAGAACAACAACAAGAATTCTTAAAGTGCCTTGGGAAAAGATTCCCAAGTCTAGGCTGTCTTCAGAAGGCACCAGCCAGAGGCATCTATGGAACCCCAGACTGGTTTGGGTGGGAAGGGACCTTAAAGCTCATCCAGTTCCAACCTCCCTGGTGTCAGCAGGGACACCTGGAAATATTTGAATTTAAAAGTCCCTGAAGCTCCAGGTCCTGCCAGCTTCCTGCAGCTCCTGTCCCTGCCTGCAGAGAGCAGATCCACAGCACAGCTCAGCGGGTGGCACGGGGCTGTGGTTCTGCTAGTGGCAAAAGGGTCACCCAGGAGCAGAGGAAATGGCAGGAAGATGTGGCAGGGGAGGGTGAGGTTGGCCATGAGGAAAAGGTTCTTCAGGCACCCAGAGGGTGGTGGAGCACTGGAACAGGCTCCCCAGGGAGGTGCTCATGGCACCAAGCCTGACAAGATTCCAGCAGCATTTGGCCAAGGCCCTCAGGGACATGGTGTGAATGTTGGGATTGTCCTGTGCAGGGACAGGAGTTGGACTCATGATCCTGGTGAGTCCCTTCCAACTCACCACATCCTGTGAAGCTATGATCTAGGACAGATCTGAGCTCAATAGCTTGTGTGGCCTTAATAGCCACGAGGGTCCATCCATGTTTTGGAGTCCCTGTGTAGCCCACTGTTCCCCAGCAAATGCCACCAAATGCCCCCCCAGCTCCCACCATAGCTGCTGCCCACAGAGGAGCAGCAGGGAGGTGACAGGGAGGTGGCAGGGAGGTGGCAGCATCACCAGGACCCAGCTGTTCCTCCTCCCCTCAGCCCTATTGCTGCCTCACCATCCTCGTGGCTTCTCCCGAGGCCTGAGGTCCCGCAGGCTCCGGGGCTCTGAGCCGCCCTCTCCTCCCTCCTGAGTCCCCTTGTTCTGTCCCCAGGTGCTGAAGGGACACGACGACCACGTCATCACCTGCCTGCAGTTCTGTGGCAACCGGATAGTCAGTGGCTCGGATGACAACACGCTGAAGGTGTGGTCAGCAGTCACCGGGGAGGTGAGCTCTGCCCCGTGGACACGTCACAGGGCTGAGTCCTGCTGCTCCTGCAGGAACTGGGGAGGTGTGGAGGGCCCTTTGGGTGGGTTTATGCTGTCGCTGGCAAAGTGTCACTAGGGAGAGGATTTGATAGATCCTGTGGCTGCTGGAGCACTGGAAGAGCTGCAGTAACATGGCAGAGCTGGCCAGACACGTGGGTTCACTGGCAGTCAGCGGGGGTGGACCACCCTTCTGGAGATCCTGAAAGGGCAAGAAACTTCACTGGCTGTGGAATAGCGAGTGATCATTGTCATGGATGACACCACCACCTCTGTGGTGGGGACCTGAGTCCACAGGGAGATGGATTGCTGACCTGAAGAGCCTTCAGAGTGATTGAGGTTGGAAGGAACCCCCCTGCTCAAGCAGAGCACATGAACCAGGATTTTGTCCAGATGGGTTTTGAATGTCTCCAGAGAAGGAGACTCCACACCCTCCCTGGGCAGCCTGTCCCAGGGCTCTGGCACCCTCACTGGAAAGTTCTTCCTCATGTTCAGGTGGAACTTCCTCTGCTGCGGTTCATGCCTGTTGCCTCTCATCCTGTTGTTGGGTGTCAGTGAGAAGAGCCTGGCCCCGTCCCCTAGACACTGTCCCCTGCCTGTCCCTCGCCCGGGGGAAGCCCTGCCCTTTGCTTTCCCTTTTTCCTGCGTGGTTCAGCCTTTCCCAAACCAGCCTCTCACCTCTTGTCCTTGGCAGTGTGTGCAGACACTGGTTGGCCACACAGGGGGTGTGTGGTCGTCCCAGATGAGGGACAGCATCGTCATCAGCGGCTCCACGGACCGGACGCTCAAAGTGTGGAACGCAGACACGGGCGAGTGCGTGCACACGCTGTACGGGCACACGTCCACCGTGCGCTGCATGCACCTGCACGGGAACAGGTACGGGCACGATGGGGGGGCTGGGCTGGGCTCTGCTGAGGGGCAGGTCACGGTGTGGAATTATGGAATCCCCGACTGGTTTGGGTGGGAAGGGCCCTTAAAGCTCCTCCAGTTCCAACCCCCCTGCCATCAGCAGGGACACCTTCCACTAGACCAGGTTGCTCCAAGCCTCATCCAGCCTGGCCACAAACACTTCCAGGGAGGAGCAGCCACAGCTTCTCTGGACAACCTGGGACACTGGCTCACCACCCTCACACCAAACAATTTCTTCCTCACATCTCAGCTCCATCTCCCCTCTGACACTTTCAAGCCATCACCCCTTGTTCTCTCCCTCCCTGCCCTTGGCCAAAGTCCCTCCCCAGCCTTCCTGGAGCCCCTTCAGGTACTGGGAGGCCGCTAGAAGGTCTCCCCAGAGCCTTCTCTTCTCCAGGCTGAACAGCTCCAACTCTCTGACCCATACAGAAGCATTAGGAGCCTGGGCTGGTCAGTGCTCCGGGATATGGGGCAGGTGAAAGTGCAGAGGTGGTCATGGCTTGGGCTGCTCTGCAGCTGCAGGGTGCTGTGTGGGAAGGGGTGTCCCTGGGGAGGAGAAGCTCTCAGGGAAGCTCGTGTGCCTGGGGTTGTCTCAGCTGTGTCAACACCATCGGGCTGCACTCGTGTCCTTGCCACAGGGTCGTGAGCGGCTCCCGGGACGCCACCCTGCGCCTCTGGGACATCGAGACGGGGCAGTGTCTGCACGTGCTGATGGGGCACGTGGCCGCCGTGCGCTGCGTGCAGTACGACGGGCACAAGGTGGTGAGCGGCGCCTACGACTACACAGTGAAAGTGTGGGACCCCGAGAGCGAGAGCTGCACTCACACGCTGCAGGGACACACCAACCGCGTCTACTCCTTGCAGGTGAGGCCCTGAGCGCCCATCACAGCACAGGTGGGGACACAGAGGACACAGCAGGGACACAGAGGACACCTGACCCCCCCCACACACACACCCTGGGGCTGTTTCCTGGAGGAAAAAAGCTGCCAGAGGGGGACCCTGGGCAGCCGGGGGGTACGTGGGCACAGCGCACCATCCTTCCTGCCCCGGGTCTCTGACACGAGATCTCCTGGTCTGGCCACATCTGGAATATTGTGTCCAGTTCT